CTCCTCTCTCTCTCTCTCTCTCTCTCTCTCTCTCTCTCTCTCTCTTCTCCACTACTCCCACAAGCGGTATCTAAATTGACGTTCTTCAATCCGCAAAAATACTCATGGCGATGCGATAATTACTTAATTCGTTATTGTGCGAAATTTATTTGAGAAATCCGATATCGCAATGCACATCTCGACATCAAGATTTGATTATCGGCCTTTCGACCGACGATTGACTGACAATAAGAAAGACATTTCTATTCGCTTATCGTTAGTTTCGGATTAAAGTGGAAAATATTTTTAAATAAGTCACTCAAAAGTGCTAGCTCGGATTGGACGTTACGTAGCGAGATACGTGATTTGATATTTTATACGTGTATCGGCAAATCGTATTAAAAATCCGTATACGTTGATCTCCTCAAGGACGCTCGTCACACGATTTCGCTTCAGCATCGACAAAGAGACGATAAAAGCGTGTTGGAGATTTTTATGATGGTAGATAGCGCCATTCACTCGTAATCTACTAGTCCGTGAGCTCTCGCACTACGAGCATGGCGCTCATATCTTTATGTATCCGGTTTCGTTTACAATCCCTTGGAATATATAACTCGTATTTATAAAAGTTCAAGACCGTTTATTACACATATATATACTTGCCATTTCAATTTAAAGCATTGCAAAGTCCGAGCGTCATATCCGTGAAGAACGCCCTAACGTCTTTTCCTCCTCTTGAACATCTGCTTGCGCATCTTTAATTCAGAATAAAAGTTGACGTCTCCGTATCTCTCTTCGAGAGCATCTTCGCGATTCGGGTAGGAATAACGGGGGAGATTTTTCGCGAGCCAACCGCGTATCGAGATACGCTACGGAAAAAGAAGGGAGAAGGGAGAGATTGGACTGCTCGTTGCGCATTCGCCAAGTTTTTATTTCGCTCCCATTCGTCGTCGCATCTGCCTCGTCGTCGCTTGTACGAGACGCGATCGCATTCGAGCGATTCTCTCCCGGCACGCAACGGTACACTTAGTATGTAAATGCCGATGCGGACGTCGTTGTGTATGTAGATAATTGCGCGGCGCGTGTGGGAGGCAGTCGAAATTGCGCATATTAACAAAGGGGGCGAACTTTGATTGTATCTGCATGCTTGTCCGCCGTCGTCCGCCGTCGATTCCTGACGGACCTTCGATTCGAAACGCAGTTATTACCTTCCTCCGTTTTAAATTCGTTAATTTTCCCATTTTTAACATTATTTTTATTTTAACATTATTTCTTTTAACATTATTCAATCGCATTGGCATGGATACGAAAGCATCATGTTATAACACCTTTTGTCCATCCGTGAAAATATTAGAAAATCTTTTCTGTACTTGGAAATATGTTTGCAATAAAATTAATAGTTTTCCGGTGCATTTTATTGTTTCGTCTTTCGCAAATACCGTCATATGGTCGGAACCGCTTTGACGTGGAAGCTTATCGAAATCGATAGGACTCCTTCGAAGACATGGCCGCTTCTTGCGGTAGCAACGGAAGAGGAGGAATGTGACCGATGGTGAGCAAAGAAAGAAGGAAAAAAGAAGAAACATGGAAGTCGAGGAGAGGCTCGTTTTACCGACGACGTATCCCGGCGGCCGCCTTTCCCTTGTACAAGGGGGTTTAATAGAGGGTGAAACGTCCTCCACCTTCTTCGAGTCAGCCTCCTGCGGATTGTCGTTTCCATCCCCATCGACGCGGTCATCTCGGCAATCTCGGATCGCAGTGGTAATCGGAGGGTGGTACAGGGGAGGGGGTTGCGCAGCCTTGTGCTCGTTGAGTGAAAGCGGGAACCTAATAATTCGCCGTTCGTTCGATTTACCTCGATTTCCGCTTTTCTCTTTCTCGTTCTTTGGCCTCCCCCTCCGCGTGTGCCGAACGATTTCTCCGGTGATTCGACCGCAGCCCGACAGCCACACTCGTCTAATTCAATTACATAAAATGGAAATGGAGACCTGACAACGAGTTTATTTTCAACAGCGTTCTCAATCACCACAACGAAAATAAAGAACTCACGTTGGATGATTATTTTCGTATGTAACGGTCATGGGAAACTACCACGTTGTAAATCGAGTAACATGGATTGATCGATGTCGCCGCAGCGGTTCGACAGGAACATTACTTAAATTATTCAAACACAATTTTAACTTAGTCATTAATTATTTTCCACGAAATAAAATTCTCATAAGTAAGTGATAAGCATTGACATTTCGAAAATTTATCGATTACCGTATCGGTCTTTCGATCGAGGTTCGCCATTCGATGTCGATATTATGAAATTTTCACTTATCTCTAGCCACCGACGAGCAACAGCGGTAGATATCTCGTCAGGAGGATGCGTTCCGCTCGAGGCAAAACATCGTTGCTAACCACCACCACCGCTACTATCACGAACCACTGTACCTCTTCCATCGTTTCACAGCCGATGGATCGTCGATAGGTATTTTAGCCTGTAGTATATAACAGTATCCACCTATAACATACTCGCACACCGGGTTCTTCGTCGGGGAGAACGGAGAGGAATGGAAGAGAGACGCGACCGAGCGAGCGAGCGAGCAAGCGAGAGGGGGTGGACGAGGGGATCGATCGAATCGCCATTACGGCGAGTGAGTGCCGGGGGTGCACGATGGAATCACGCCGCCGCTAGGGGTTTATTCCCCGTATATATTTGCCGGAGTATCACCCTCGACCCAGTAGGATGCCGCCGCCCCCCTATCCCAGAGGGGTTTGATGTTCAGCAAGGTGGAGAGAAAGAGAAAGGGAGGGAGAATTAGGGGGAGAGTGCGTGCGGGGGAGAGAGAGGAAGAAAGAGAGAAAGAGAGAGAGACGAAAGCACGGATCTAGGAAAGCCGAGGGCTCGTGCAGAGCACTTCGGACTTGCCAAAATCTGCGGGGAATTCGCACCCTCGACACGATACCACTTCTCGAATGGAGTGGCCCGTTTCGACAAATATGGAACAATAGTTACCTTCTGGCAGGCAGGCGACGAACGTTACTTAACGGCGATTATTCAATCGTTAATAATGCATTTGACGTTTATTACCGAGATGCGATTGGGTAATCTCGATTTATAATTCCTGACTATTCTTGATAAGAATAGAATGAATATGTGCTAATTAATCAACTCCATATATGTGTACGTCGGATTAATTAGTGGCCAACTGGTAATGGGAAATAAGAGACGCGCGTGCAAATATTATCTACGGTTTACTGAGCTCTTTGCAGCTCAGGTTTTCCTCACATTGTGCTTCCTGTTTACAAGTCGCCGCTTACTCGAGCATAACGAAATCTTTAAAGAATTTCAGGGGACGTCTCATTGTAAGCTGCCTTTTTCGTTGTCTTTTTCCAGGTACGGCGCTGGATACGACCTAGCCGCGCGGCGGAAGAATGCCACGAGGGAGTCGACGGCAACCTTGAAGGCTTGGCTGAACGAACACAAGAAGAACCCGTATCCGACGAAAGGTGAGAAGATTATGCTGGCTATCATCACGAAGATGACGCTGACCCAAGTCTCCACTTGGTTCGCGAACGCGCGGAGACGTCTCAAAAAGGAAAACAAGATGACCTGGGAACCGAAGAACAAGACGGACGACGATGACGACGCGGTGCTCACCGATTCCGAGGATAATAAGGAAAAGGACGATCTCGCGACGGACAACAGGGGCGACCGAGTCGGCGAGGAGGCGAGGCGGGGCCTCGACGATACCGGTAAGCTTTTTTTCCTTTCCACGCATGGTATCCGTTGCCCGACAGCGAGTCAGAATTCATTATTCAGTAAGACGCTGCCTCCAGACACGAGCCGTCACGTTTTCACATCGTTATCTGCGAGAGCGATTTAGAAAATTCTCCGTAGTCGCGGGGCGTGCTGACGTTAACACGCGAAATCTTGGTTTGCGCCGTTAACAGGACTACAAACTATAAAACGAAACGAAACGAGGGGCGTGCCCGCTTACGTCGCTGCGGAAAAAATTCCGAGCGCGAAGTGAGTAATAATAATATTCGAAACGGCTAGCTGGCAGTGTCTGTTGTGCGAGAGATAATCTGAGAGAGAGAGAGAGAGAGAGAGAGAGAGAGAGAGAGAGAAGTAA